ATTAGTATGTTGTTTACAACATCAATTTAAACATTTTCTGAAATTTTTAGAGCAATCTGACAATTACAAAAACAATTATCAGAGATTTTCAATTTTTGAGTGTTTCAAAAGTATAAACACAGGTGAATAAAATTAGTATAATTTTTTTTATTAATTATTAGTTTAATTAGTTTTCACCAGAGGGGAGTATCATTTGTTATTAAAAACATGGCACCAATTTTAAGCGGTTTTTATGATTTAAAGTAATGCCTTGTGGAAAAACACTAACAGAGTTGGAAATACGTGAAATTTACCAACTAAAAGGATTAGGACGATCTCTAAGACAAATTTCGGCAGCTATAAATCAATCTACATGTGCTATGAGAAATGTGTTAACTCAGGGTGAAAATTATGGCAGAAATAAGCAATGTGGAAGGCCTAAACTCCTTACACATAGAAACGAAAGAAAGGTTTTTCAGCTACTGACGGTCAACAAGTTATCTGTCAGAGAAGCAGCATCAACATTGCCAATTGTAGTTTCACCAGCAACTGTATGGAGATGTATGCATAATTATAAAAATGCCAAATTTACCAAAATGACTGCCAAACTGAAATTAACACAATTGCACAAAACAGCTAGATTAAAGTGGGCCAAAGACAAGATGACATGGAAAGAGGAATGGAAACAAATAGATGAAAAAAGTGGAATTTGGATGGACCTGACGGTTATAGTCACTACTGGCATGATTTGAGGAAGAACGAAGAAGTCAGAATGAGCAGACAGCAAGGTGGAGGATCTGTGATGGTGTGGGCAGGATTTGGATGGGGAGGTAAAACAGATATTGTATTTATAGGAGGTAGAATGAATTCAGAAAAGTATCAAGAACTGTTGTATCAAAATTTAATAACTTTTGGACCACTTATTGGGGGAGAAAACTGGCAATTTCAACAGGATATTTATACATCAAAGTCAACTAAAAATTGGTTTGCTAAAAAAAAAATTACTTTAATTGATTGGCCATCACGAAGCCCTGATATGAATCCGATAGAAAATATTTGGGGCATTATGAGTCGTCTTGTTTATGGCCAAAACAGACAATACAGTACTGTAAATTATTTGAAATTAGCTATTATTGGTTATGGATTATTGGGAAAATATTAAACAAGAACAACTTCAAAAACTAGTAAAATGTATGCCTGATAGAATATTTGAACTAATTAAATCAAATGGTGGACCTACAAAATATTGAAACATCACAAATTGTTTTTTATGCACATGTGTTTATACTTTTGAAACAATCAAAAATTGAAAATCTGTGATAATTCTTTTTGTAATTGTAAGATTGCTCTAAAAATTTCAGAAAAATGTTTAAATTGATGTTGTAAATGATATTTTAATATAATAAATACATTACAATTGTTAATGTTTTTGTTATTGAAAAAAGTTGGGTGTGTTTATAATTTTGAAATGGACTGTAATAGTAATATTACAACAACATATATAATAAGCATTATTTTTTTCTAATTTAGTTTGATATGAATTGATTTGATTTGATTATTTTTATTATTAATTTTAGAAAATATATGTGAAAAGATTATTGTATTTGTAAAAATTCATTATAAAAATTTTTTATGTTAACATCAAATACAGAAATATTTTGAAGAACTACAAGACAAATCAAGTTGTAGATATTTTTTAAAAAATTATTTATTCTAGAAAATAAAAATGAGATAACAAAATCTATTGAAGGTAATTAAATAGTTATCAAATTTTTAGTAAAATATGTTTACTTTAATAGTAAAGTGTATTTTTCAAAATTAATGTATGAACTAATTAAAATGTTATTGGATATTCATTATAAAATCTAAAATGCTAGACATTTTATCCTTATAGCCTCAAGGATTAATAGATATGCTTAACCATTTTTTGTTTTGATAGTAAGATGGAAAAAATATATTTAATTTATTTTCTTTAAAAAAAACAAACTTTCACTTAAAAAACTAAATTAGTTCTTTAACTGAAGGTTTATTTTTAGTGTGAAAGTGATATATGATGTAGAGTTAGTTTTTTTTTATTTAGAAGCTACATTTGAATATTTTATTAATAAGAGTCAATTTTTTAACAATCAGTTTTCAAATGCATAGCAAAAATTATAAAAGAATATTTTTTAAATTAATGATAAAATTACATTAAAAAATAATTAAATATATTTGTATATAATTTTAAAAGACTTTTTCAGCATATGAATTAATAAATTTATATGACATATTATAAATTATATATGATGATGATTATTATATCATTATAGTGATAGTTATCTTGAGATATTTTAAAAATTTTCACTTATATCTTTCTTTCTTTCATATTTGAGCTGCTTGGGAAAACATAATGGTAAGCGCCATCGTCATTGCCCAGGTGTGATCTTTTGGCTCTTGTTCTAATTATTTCATCATGAAATTAGATTGATGTAAAACACTTTTAGTAAAAATTGATGTTAGAATAAAATTATTCAGATTTATGATTCGGCCATAATTTTATTTTTGCTGTATTCTAAAATGTCCATTTTAGCATTTACTATTTTGTTCCCCCGAGCAGCATATTTTAAAAAGTCATATGTCTATTGTAAAAATTATATAAATATGAAGAAAAATTAAATTTTAAACAGCAATAATTTAAACAGTTCAAATGATATTTCTGATAATTGTCTACTTTGAAAGTGTTATTTATATTGCTTAGATTATTACTATTCAAATTATTATCAAATAAATTTTTATTGTACTGAGACTTTCTCTTTTAACTTACTACTGAATTTCATTTTTCAATGTCTCCAAAGGGAACTTTTCTATTAGTATAAATACATTACATGTTTTATAACTATCAACATAATTTTAATTAAGCTATTAGTTTATTGTCATGTGGTAAGATAGCATTATACTACTGAGAGGAATCTGAATTTGGCTGATTTAGATCGTAGTGATTTTTCATTAATAGTTGAGCTGGGATATTGTTTCTGTTTGTCCCATGTTGTATGGCAAATGGTTTATAATGGATAAAATTAAATACAGTAGAGCGTCATTTATCCGAATCAATTGGGGACTGAGGTTGTTTGGATAACTTATTTTTCAGATAACCAGTTATGTACAAAAAATATGTTAACCTATCCCGTGTTGAAATTTTTCTCCGTTGCGTGTCGCTTTGCATTGAATTTTCGTCGATGTTAACCCTAATGTAAACTTTTTAAAATAATAATCATGGCTATTGTATTGTTAAAAATTATTTCTTTATTTTTTACAAACAAAATAAGTAGAGCGTAGATTATCCGAATCAATTGGGGACTGGGGTTGTTCGGAAAATCGATACTTTGGATAACCAATTATGTACAAAAAATATATTAACCTATCCCATGTTGAAATTTTTCTCCGNGCCTGTGCTGACCGTTCTCCAAAAAATTTAAAAACTTTTGGAGGTCGTTTTTGACATCAGAAACTAGCTTTAAATAACTTTACCGAAGTAAAATTAGTGCGCTACAACTTAGGAACCATGAAATAAAATTGATAAAAAACTCCCATTTAAAAACAATTAAGCCTTAATCGAGCCTTCACATAGGCTCATTAAAATCGCGATAAAATTTTTTCGCGCGGGCAAAAAATTTTGAAAAAATTTGGGGACCTAAAAAACATTCCAAAAATTCAAAAAAAAAAATTTTTGTCAAAAATGGCTATAAGGACCACGTTTTATGTAACGCTATATAGCGTGCCCGAGTTAACTCGGGCGAAGAACTAAATGGGTTAATAATATTTTCATCTAAGCTACCAAATTATTTTACATACAAAAAAAGTAAGACTGTTTACTGAATTTTATTGCTTTATGCATATTTATTGTAATTTTCTGCATATTATCCACATCATGGAAAAATGCTAGAACAGAAATAAAACATTCACATAATTTGCACTGCTTTATGTCCACATCTCTGAAGTTGTTGAATGGAAAACATGACACTTTTCCAGTACAGAGTTTAGAAGGTATCTCAAACATTCCACTTTTATGATGTGCTCAGAACTTCTCCTGTTCAATTGTTGTTCTTAAATCTCACAACTCAATAAATGCAGGACTTACTATACAGGATATGTGTTTAATCTTTAGTGTAGACTATTACTTGGTCCAAATACATGTTTAATTTCACTGGAAACAGGTAAGTGACCAATCGAGTCTTGAGGGACACAGATTCAAAACCAATTTGAACGTAGATTGAGGGATCCAATCTAAAAAAAATCTGTCTCAAAGACATGGGGTGTGTGCTCCTGATCAGTTATATCCAATTTGCCATGACTCTTTGAATTATTCCCATGTAATTGCATTCTTCATAACTGCTGATTGCTTTTTTCTTCACCACACTTAATGTTTTTTTTTCATAAGCTGATTGCTTTTTATTTGATTGAAATTTGACTGTTTTACACATCTCAAATCCCAGACTCTACATCTTTTTTTGAGCAAATTTTTTTAGTGCAGAAACATGCTTGTTATCCATGGAGAGCCAAGTGGCTCAAGGACTTTTATCAAAGTTTTATACAGAACCAAAGGTCGTGTAAGTCTCTCTATCTCATAAAAAATGAATCATTTTTCATCCAGAATACACATCTATGTATGTGACCCTTTTTCACTCATGCTGTTCAGTTACAGCATTTTTGGACAAAATTCTTAGGATTTGTACAAATCTCTTCAATATTGAATTTTGACCAAACGTCATGACCTCCCATATTTCTTATGTTGTATAGCACTTGTATAAATTTACAGTATTTTTACAGTTTTAATTTCTAAATGTTTTTCAAAATCAAAGTTTTTTCAAACAATGTCCAGATATCAATGATTTCAGTATTTGTTTTTAGTTTCATAAGTAAATATTTATATGAAAACATATAAATAAGAGATATATGTAACAATACATAAGATAAAATTCTAAATATAATATATCAGAGTGAAATTTCACTTTTGATGTGTAACACTAAGTATTTGAATACTTGAGTTTTATGCTAGATATTGTTAATTTATCTAAAAAATAATTTGTGTATAATTTATTTAAGATATAAATGTTATTTATGTTTCAGTCATTTTGGATATGTTATTTATTTTAAAGTGTTAATTTTTTGGTTAGATTTAGTTATTTTGTAATTAAATCAACTATCATTTTATTTTCATTAGAAATAATAATAACTAAAAACTTTTTCTTGGTAGCAATAAAATTAATTTTAAATATTATATTTATGATCTTTTAAAATATTTTAAACAGAGCCTGGGTTCCAGTAGGACATGTTTATTTTCTCTCACGTGATCCACCTCAAGCAATTACATCTCAAAAGAAAAATTTTGAAATTGCTATACAAGAAGTTGATCTACATATAAAATTATTAACACAAAGATTTGGAGGTTATGAATATGCACTTGAAAAAACACCTTTTATTCCAACACAGCTTTACCTTCATCTGAATATTACATTAAATAAAGTGAGTTATTTTTTACTACAATGAAATCTATAATATTTAATAATTAAAATTAAATATATCAAACATTGTGAAGCCTGATATGTTATAGAAACATAACCAAATGATCACCTTAAATAATTGGACTATAACTCCACTAATTTAATGATTAATACTAAGCAATTTGCTACTAGAGGTGGACATTAGGTACCATCTCTTAACTAAATTAATAATTATAATTTTAACAATTAATTAAATAATTTAGAATCATTTGGAAGAAAAGAACTGACCTAGGGTGAGGTTCAAGCCCTGCCTCAGGTCAGTTATTTTTTTCTACCTCTGGTAGCAAAGTACTTAGTATTAATCATTCAATTAGCAAAGGTATTGCCTGATTATTTAAGGCAATTGTTTGGTTATGTTTCTATTGAAATTAAATTTAAAACATTTATTTATTTATTTTAACTCAGTTTTATTTATAAATTTTTTGTGTGCAATTATGATAGATTACTCTCTTATGAAATAATAGTCATTTGTTATGTATATCATAATCTTGCTAAAGGTGATCAATGACACCATATTTTTATATGGTGTCACTGGTCACCTTAATAGGATTACAGTCCATGGTCTGTCTAGTCCAGTATTTCTCAATGGGGGCGATATTGCCCCCATGTGGGTGTTTTTTCATGTTCAGGGGGCGGTTAGTAACAATTTATATTTTGGGGGGCAAAAAACAATTTTCTGGGCGATATAGTAAAATATTATATTAAGAATAATTAGATATTTTATTCGTTATATCATACAATAATTAAACAAATAACATTATACTAGTCACTAGTCTATTCAATGCAGTAAGAATTTGGCGTTAGCCTTGTTCCTCGGCATCAAACTTTTGTAGTGAAGGGGGCGATACTACATAACAGTTTTATTGAAGGGGGCAACAATTCATTAGAGGTTGAGAAACACTGGTCTAGTTCATGTTTCATTTGAACAACCTTTATACATTAAACAAATAGTAAAATATAAAAGCAAAATCTATGATTAATCATCTGAAATAACAAAAATAATTAACAGGAAATAACATTTTTAGCATTTGAATTTTATTTATTTAGTAAAATTTATTTAAAATGAAAGGTGGCAATACTGGCAAGAATCTTCAAACTTGGCAGAGTTTTGTTTTATAGAAAGGTATATTTAGAACTATTTCTTAATAGTTCTAATATGAGTTATAGCATTTTTAACGTTTTTTTTTTTCTTCATTAATAAAAACATAACCTTTCATAAAACAAAACTAGCATAAGAGCTACATATTTTGAAAACATGTTTAAAACACTGAAATATGCATATGGTGCACAGAGAGAAAAAATTCTGTAAAAATCCAGTAAAATATGTTTTATTTGCTCTCTCCCAACTATGTGTTACTTACTAGTCAACACTTAATAATTATAACAAAGTTAGATTAACAGAATTTTTCAGTTTGTATTTAATAATTACTCTAATATTGTCTATAACAATAAATCCTGTTAGAAATTAACTTTTTTTTTATTCCTCATATTAGTAATGAAGTACTGAACTTTGGCTACTTTTAAGAATTTTATCAGGTGGTACTGGTCACTTTTTTCGCTAGTTAATGTAGAGAGAAGCATTTTGTCTTGAAATGTTTTACACATAAATAAATAATTATTTGATAACTTATTTATGAAAGAATGGGACTACATTGAATTGTCTGTTTTAAAAAGTAAGTAAACTTTAAACATAACTATACATACATGTACAACATGCGAAACATTGCAAAATACTCTAGTATGTATAGTTATTTTCTATGTCAAAACATTTCTGTGTGCTGTTTTTCACTTAATTCAAAACATAAGTTTCTATTTTATTAAAAATACATTAGCTAAATATTACCGTATTTTCATGGATTGTCTGGCATGTTGGTCTATCTGGGGAGATCATAAAATTGGACATTTCCATATGGTAAAAACATGCATGCCAGTTTTTCCCAGTGGAATTTTAGTTTAAGTGAGGTTGTACATCGCTGTTTAGAGGGTGCATGAAAAAACAAGCCAGTTTTTATTTTAAAACTGTGAAACTGTCAGCATTACATCAAAAAATATGATTATATGTTTAATTTTTTCATTTTGTCTTCTTTCTGACAACGTAAAATACTCATGGAATTCCAAAAGTGCTTTTTTTTTGTGTGTATTTTATTGTTATTTGATTAAAAAATGAAAAAATAAACATTAAATTTAAGAAAATCCCTGTAAATTATTTCAGTTTACACCATAAACATCAGCTTTGTGTGAAATTTGAAAGGAAGGTGTTATTTTTAAGGTCAGGGTAGATGGTCAGTATAGCCCACACTGACTAACTACTATTACTATTATCACTAATGTCAATAATCATTAATTATTTTGCTGTCTTGTAAACGAAAACTCTCTTCCTAATTTCCAGTCAGTCAAATTAGTGATATTATTTTATTGTACTCAGAAGAATGTTTTATTTAACATTTAATTAACAACTAGTTTTGTTAGATCTGATTAATTTTATGTTTTAGTCGCATTTTAACCTGCATGCTGGTTTATATACATTTACATGAATCTTTTTCATTGTATCTTTCTTAGCTAAGATTATATCTACTGTAGACCTGTTGAAATCATCTGCCTACAGTGTCAGAAATCTTCTGACCACTCTCTGTTTTGGCTATTATCTGTTGCTTAGTTTCTATAGCGAACACAGTTCTTGACAGTCCACTCTTTTTAGGCCCCATAATATTATCAGTTTTTTTAAATAAAAAGTTCAGAAAAGCACTTACAAAAATTCAGAGAGCAAAAATTAACTACTGCAAGAAAGGTTATGTATACAACTGTGAAAGTCTCGTTTCATAAATCATTCATAGATGCCATTAAAATATAATTTTACAAATCTTAAATACAGCATTGCTTCTTGTATTTGTTCTGTAAGGTGTTCATTGTCCGAACATAAAAATTTTTCATGAAAATGTTTATTGTCTGATTTGTGTGCAGTCCAAACTGTCCATTAACCTTTCACTCACTGTACTGAGAAAATTTAAAGTTGAATGACTATCCATAAAATTAATAGAGAAAATGGAAAATTGTATTTTACTTTTCTGGCTGTTTATATAAAGGAGGGCTTTTTAAAGTATGGCCATAAGTCAAAAGATGGCCTCCCAAGATTTTTACATTTTTTTTTACTTGTGACCTTGAAACATCAAGAAATGAAGAAAATGTTGGGTTTATTTTTTGTATGTACAGATGTTAGTGGAGGATACGTTTTTTTCACTCTTTTTGAAGCTTAACTCGTGTCTTTTGTCAAAAATTTCTAAGTTTGCAGAGAGGTTTGTGTATTGAGGGAAATTGTTTCTAAAACTTTCTGAAAAGCAGACCAATGGAGATATGGCACTCATTCCCTTAATAGCTCCCAAACCAGTCTGAAGACTTAAAAGTAATAGTAGTAATTATTATGGATGAAAACAAATAAAGAATACCAGGAAAGTATACCAGCAACAATTTCAGCTTTATTAAGAATATCAGAAATTTAAGGGAAAGCAGTTGATTGATGAATTATGAAGTAGACATCAAGTTTGTACTTTTTTTATACACTCTAAATAAGATATAGAGAGAAAATAAATGAAAACGATTTAATTAATATTTATTTTAAATTATAGATAATAAAAAAATGTCATTTTTACAAAGACAAATTATGTTACAATAACTTTTGATATAATATTGGCTTTAACAATTTTTTGTTGATAATATATGAATGTTAATCTTTTAGAATTATGTTCTTCGATTTTGTGGAAAAAAATAGTTTTTTTTTTTTAAATAAAAATTTTATTTAGAATCATTCTATAATTAGAATATTTTGAATTTTATTTACAGTGTAATTAGCTTAGCTTTGTTTTATTAGTTATAGTAATATAACACTTGGACAATCTTCCTTGGGGGGAAGCCTTCTGGGAGGTCTTTTACAAGTAACTGACTCCTACTTAGGCATTAAAGATGTGGAGAAAATATGGAAAGCACCATGTGGCCAGCCCATCCAGCAAGGCATGAACCCACGACCAAACTACTTGTGTTTGGGGAATGGAACCCCATGACCTTTTATAATTAGCACTTTAACTCAAACATTTCACAATTCATGCAATTGTGAAATGTATGTACAAAATGCATTATCTTGCTACATTCATTAAAGGAATTTACAACAACAAAAATGAAATTGACAATGTATTGGAACATTCTTAACTAGTTGGAGAATTGTGCAGAATAATAGATAGTATGAGCTTGTTATTTATACATTTCATAACATTTGTTTCTGAAGCAAACTCTAAATTAAATAAATTTTGGCAAATATCTTATACTGTGTACTACTAAACAGTGTCATTTAGGTTATTCAAAGTAAATTCTTTTTGAGTTTAATCAGAAATAAAAAGTATACACACAAAATTTTTACTATTCATTGCTAAGAACATTTTTTGTTTTTTTTTGTTTTTTGCATAGTTATGCTGTAATCCACAATCATCTAGAGATAAAAGAAAATACGAGATGCCATCAGTTTCATCAAAACGTCGTTCCAGCAAATGTAAGCTTTTTAAATTTGAGTTCTTGATTTATTTTTTTTATTATTAATTGTTTTCAATTTTATAATTCTTAACATTAATTTAATTAGTAAATTTATATTATTATTTTAATTCTATAGAATTTTATTAGAATCTTTTTCTTTTTCAATTTATTTTTATTCCTACATTAAGTTTTAAATTACAATCCTTTTTCAATTTTCTCATAACTTTTTACTTTTTCCTGCTTTTTAACTGAATATCTTACAACATATCTTAACATTATTGATGGATGAATATTCTATTTAATTCAATTGATCGATGGATCAAGACAACTTAATTCTATTGATGGATCAATAGAATTAAGTTGTCTTGAAAATAGACAATATTTGAGATATAATTATTAGTTTAATTAGTTTTCACCAGAGGGGAGTATCATTTGTTATTAAAAACATGGCACCAATTTTAAGCGGTTTTTATGATTTAAAGTAATGCCTTGTGGAAAAACACTAACAGAGTTGGAAATACGTGAAATTTACCAACTAAAAGGATTAGGACGATCTCTAAGACAAATTTCGGCAGCTATAAATCAATCTACATGTGCTATGAGAAATGTGTTAACTCAGGGTGAAAATTATGGCAGAAATAAGCAATGTGGAAGGCCTAAACTCCTTACACATAGAAACGAAAGAAAGGTTTTTCAGCTACTGACGGTCAACAAGTTATCTGTCAGAGAAGCAGCATCAACATTGCCAATTGTAGTTTCACCAGCAACTGTATGGAGATGTATGCATAATTATAAAAATGCCAAATTTACCAAAATGACTGCCAAACTGAAATTAACACAATTGCACAAAACAGCTAGATTAAAGTGGGCCAAAGACAAGATGACATGGAAAGAGGAATGGAAACAAATAGATGAAAAAAGTGGAATTTGGATGGACCTGACGGTTATAGTCACTACTGGCATGATTTGAGGAAGAACGAAGAAGTCAGAATGAGCAGACAGCAAGGTGGAGGATCTGTGATGGTGTGGGCAGGATTTGGATGGGGAGGTAAAACAGATATTGTATTTATAGGAGGTAGAATGAATTCAGAAAAGTATCAAGAACTGTTGTATCAAAATTTAATAACTTTTGGACCACTTATTGGGGGAGAAAACTGGCAATTCCAACAGGATAATGCTGCCATTCATACATCAAAGTCAACTAAAAATTGGTTTGCTGAAAAAAAAATTTACTNACAATTACAAAAACAATTATCAGAGATTTTCAATTTTTGAGTGTTTCAAAAGTATAAACACAGGTGAATAAAATTAGTATAATTTTTTTTATTAATTATTAGTTTAATTAGTTTTCACCAGAGGGGAGTATCATTTGTTATTAAAAACATGGCACCAATTTTAAGCGGTTTTTATGATTTAAAGTAATGCCTTGTGGAAAAACACTAACAGAGTTGGAAATACGTGAAATTTACCAACTAAAAGGATTAGGACGATCTCTAAGACAAATTTCGGCAGCTATAAATCAATCTACATGTGCTATGAGAAATGTGTTAACTCAGGGTGAAAATTATGGCAGAAATAAGCAATGTGGAAGGCCTAAACTCCTTACACATAGAAACGAAAGAAAGGTTTTTCAGCTACTGACGGTCAACAAGTTATCTGTCAGAGAAGCAGCATCAACATTGCCAATTGTAGTTTCACCAGCAACTGTATGGAGATGTATGCATAATTATAAAAATGCCAAATTTACCAAAATGACTGCCAAACTGAAATTAACACAATTGCACAAAACAGCTAGATTAAAGTGGGCCAAAGACAAGATGACATGGAAAGAGGAATGGAAACAAATAGATGAAAAAAGTGGAATTTGGATGGACCTGACGGTTATAGTCACTACTGGCATGATTTGAGGAAGAACGAAGAAGTCAGAATGAGCAGACAGCAAGGTGGAGGATCTGTGATGGTGTGGGCAGGATTTGGATGGGGAGGTAAAACAGATATTGTATTTATAGGAGGTAGAATGAATTCAGAAAAGTATCAAGAACTGTTGTATCAAAATTTAATAACTTTTGGACCACTTATTGGGGGAGAAAACTGGCAATTTCAACAGGATATTTATACATCAAAGTCAACTAAAAATTGGTTTGCTAAAAAAAAAATTACTTTAATTGATTGGCCATCACGAAGCCCTGATATGAATCCGATAGAAAATATTTGGGGCATTATGAGTCGTCTTGTTTATGGCCAAAACAGACAATACAGTACTGTAAATTATTTGAAATTAGCTATTATTGGTTATGGATTATTGGGAAAATATTAAACAAGAACAACTTCAAAAACTAGTAAAATGTATGCCTGATAGAATATTTGAACTAATTAAATCAAATGGTGGACCTACAAAATATTGAAACATCACAAATTGTTTTTTATGCACATGTGTTTATACTTTTGAAACAATCAAAAATTGAAAATCTGTGATAATTCTTTTTGTAATTGTAAGATTGCTCTAAAAATTTCAGAAAAATGTTTAAATTGATGTTGTAAATGATATTTTAATATAATAAATACATTACAATTGTTAATGTTTTTGTTATTGAAAAAAGTTGGGTGTGTTTATAATTTTGAAATGGACTGTAATAGTAATATTACAACAACATATATAATAAGCATTATTTTTTTCTAATTTAGTTTGATATGAATTGATTTGATTTGATTATTTTTATTATTAATTTTAGAAAATATATGTGAAAAGATTATTGTATTTGTAAAAATTCATTATAAAAATTTTTTATGTTAACATCAAATACAGAAATATTTTGAAGAACTACAAGACAAATCAAGTTGTAGATATTTTTTAAAAAATTATTTATTCTAGAAAATAAAAATGAGATAACAAAATCTATTGAAGGTAATTAAATAGTTATCAAATTTTTAGTAAAATATGTTTACTTTAATAGTAAAGTGTATTTTTCAAAATTAATGTATGAACTAATTAAAATGTTATTGGATATTCATTATAAAATCTAAAATGCTAGACATTTTATCCTTATAGCCTCAAGGATTAATAGATATGCTTAACCATTTTTTGTTTTGATAGTAAGATGGAAAAAATATATTTAATTTATTTTCTTTAAAAAAAACAAACTTTCACTTAAAAAACTAAATTAGTTCTTTAACTGAAGGTTTATTTTTAGTGTGAAAGTGATATATGATGTAGAGTTAGTTTTTTTTTATTTAGAAGCTACATTTGAATATTTTATTAATAAGAGTCAATTTTTTAACAATCAGTTTTCAAATGCATAGCAAAAATTATAAAAGAATATTTTTTAAATTAATGATAAAATTACATTAAAAAATAATTAAATATATTTGTATATAATTTTAAAAGACTTTTTCAGCATATGAATTAATAAATTTATATGACATATTATAAATTATATATGATGATGATTATTATATCATTATAGTGATAGTTATCTTGAGATATTTTAAAAATTTTCACTTATATCTTTCTTTCTTTCATATTTGAGCTGCTTGGGAAAACATAATGGTAAGCGCCATCGTCATTGCCCAGGTGTGATCTTTTGGCTCTTGTTCTAATTATTTCATCATGAAATTAGATTGATGTAAAACACTTTTAGTAAAAATTGATGTTAGAATAAAATTATTCAGATTTATGATTCGGCCATAATTTTATTTTTGCTGTATTCTAAAATTTCCATTTTGGCGTTTACCATTTTGTTTCCCCAAGCAGTTCAATTTTAATTTAAAAATGTTATGTTAATGAAACAAAATTACAATTATTTTGTTGATGACAGGAATTTTATAAACATTTAATGTAAATAATGATAACTGAATTAATATTTTATCAGCATTTAAATATAAACATATTTTTTTCTATTTAGCTCAGGAGCCACAAGGAATTAAGAAAGATGGGCAAAAGAAAGAAGAATCTCCTGAGCAAGACATTGCAGAACAAGATGTTTTAGAAAAAGTGGGTGAAAGTGAAACTGTATCTGTAGCTACTGTAGATACTAAATTGGATGAGTCAAGTGAAGATTTAGAAACATCTACAGTTCAAAGTATATCTCTAGCTGAAGATGATGATGAAGTAGAAAAGGCAAATACTTTAACTGTAGAAGAATCCAATGTAACAGATGCTGAAGTGGCTAAACAAACTTTAGTTGTTGAAGTCTCTGCTGAAAATAAAACTTTCATTAATACATTTAAAGAGCATCCAAATAAAGTAAAATCCAGTGAAATGGTAAATTCTGAAGTTAAAAAACAACAAAATACTAAGGATAGTGAATTTGATAAGGTAGAAAACAGTGAATTTTTGGAATCAAATGAAAATAATACAGGGTTAGAAAGTGATTCCAATTTTATTTCCAAATCTTCAGATTTGGAAAAGTTTCAGAAGGAATCAAATTTTTTAAGTGGACCTAATGAATCATTAGGAAGTGCAGACAAATTGTTGGAAAATTCTGGAAAAGATAAAAGTTTTAGCACTGATACATTAAAGGATGATTTAAATGAAAATACAGAAAATTTTAATAAGTCAAAAGAGAATAATGTTATGACTTCAGAAATGATTGCAGTTAGTGACAGTTCTTCAGAAAAACCAAAATTAGTGAAGTCAAATAGTATAGATCAGGAAAATAAGATAATTCAAAATGAAGAAAATTCATCTAACAATTCATTAATATGTGAAACAGAAAGCAAAGAACTTAATAAAAACCTGCCTGAGAATAAAGAAGCTGATGAGAAATTAAAACAATTCAATAATGTGAATATACATAATGAAAATGATAAAATTAATAGGAAAGATGATGGAGAAAATATGAATTTATTAAGTAAACTAAATGAGGTAGAACACCAGAAAAAAAATGTGGTTGAAAATAATATTGAAAAGGAAACCACAAAAAATACAGATCTTATAGAAAATAATGAAAAAGTTAATTTAGACAGTAAAGATACTCAAAAATCCCAGTCACCAAATAGTTTACGAATTCGAATTGTAAAAGGAAAAGTTGAGTCTAAACCTGATCTTCAGAATCATTCCAATAAAACCAGTAATGTTAAATCAAGCAAGTTATCAAAGAAATGTGAATTTACAATTAGTCGATCAAACTCTTTTCAAAACAATTGCACTTCACATAAAGAAAAACTAGTAGTTGGAAATGCAGATCAAGAACAAGTATTTACTTCAAAAAGTAAAACTGAACCTATTCCTAGTTTGGCTGTAAGGAAATCTAAGCGTCCGAGAAAGAACTTTATTATTCAATTTCCTTGGAAAATAATGTCAAAATTAGCTAATCCTGATGAAGACATAAATAAAAGCAAAGAAAACTTGTCTGATGATCAAAAAGATAATACTTCTGAAAATAAATCTTCAGATACTACTCATTCAGTAAATAACTTAAAGGAACAAAATAATTCATTAAATGAAAATGATTTATTACCAGATAAGAAAAATGATTCATTGCCAGATAAGAAAAACGATTCTTTAAATTTAGAAAAGAGTAAGGAACCATCTAAACCTTGCAGTTCTGAAAGAAAAGACGAGGAAAATATAAAAGACTCAACAGAAGAAACCATACCAGATACTTCATCTCATAAAGAATCAGAAAAACCTAATAATGCAGATGAAATAAAGAACTTGTCTTCAGAAGATTTATCCAAAAGTAAAGTTTCCGAAAATAGTCAAGATTCTGCAAAAATTCAGATTTCAAGTGATTTGGTATTATCTAAAACTCATTTGACTGAAAAAAGTATAGATTCATTAAAAGTTAAAATATTAGAAGATAATAATGATGCATTAAGGCCACAAGTAATATTAGATAATATAGCTGTAACTAAACTTCCATCATCTCAAACTAATGTAGACTTATCTAAAAAGCAAACCAATCAGAATTTATCAGAATTATCAAAACCTGAAATGTTACAAGAAAAGTGCCTAAAAAATACAGATTCAACAACAAATATAATACACCAGAATAAGCATTTAGAATTGTCAGATTTATCAAAAGATAAAGTTATACAAATTAAATCTTTGGATTCTTCAGATTTATTAAAAACTGTAATATCTCAGAATAAAAGTGCAGATTCTGTTGATATAGTAAAGATACCATTATTGCAAGATAAAAGTACAGTTCCTACTAACTCATTAAAAACAGTAATAGTATTAGATAAATTTATGGACAAACCTTTAGATACAAATTCATTAAAAAATAAAATTTGCCAAGAAAAAAAAGCAGCAAATTTTACAGGAAAGTCAAAATTTGTTCATCCAAGTACTATTTTGGAAAAACTAGATAAAGTAAAAATTGCAAAAAGTCCTCTCCAACAAAACAATTCTGTAAAAAAACAAGATTCATTTGATGTACAGAAAACAAGTATACAAACAACAAAGGGAAATAGTTCTTCTGTTTTTTCTCATATTGCCAAAATATTAGGACAACCAACCAACAAAAACTTAAATAACAGTTGTATCACTACATCTGTAAAATCACCTGCTATTTCTGTTTTATCAATACCCAAGTCTGCTGAAAATACATTTGAAGGTTCTGTTAAAAAATCTATTCACAGTTTTAATAAAAACACAAATAATATAAATACCACACAGATAAATAACATTTCAAATCAAGAAATTGAAATTGACCACTGTAATAATGACTTAGATATGGAATGTGTAAATGAAGAAGAACATGCTATTAGAAAAGCAATGGATAATTGTGTGAAAGATATTCCATTGAATAGGCAAGAGATTAAAATCAATAACAGTCAATTGTCTATTCAAAATTTACAGCCTTCTGTAAAATGTAAGTATTGTATTTTTTTTTAAAAAAAAGGTTTATTTTTAAGATTTTAATAGATAAATATAAACATTTTTAATCATATAATTTTCAAGAAAATCAAATAAATTTAAAAATTTTATAAATTTTTAATAAATTTTTTTAAAGATTAAGAGTGCTTTTTATAAACTTTTAAATTTAAACTTTGCAACTAATCAAGTTAATAAAATGGTCTTTCAAATGCACATGCATCAACAGGAACCATTCTGGGAAATTTTAAAAAATTGCCAGTCATTTTGCCAGTTTTAATTTTTTTTGCCACCAGTTTTATTTACTAATTAATGCAAGTGTTGGTAGCCTTATCAGTTTGGAGTCTGGAAAGGAAAAGTAACATGTTAAGCTGTCACTCAGAAATATGAATCATTTTTGAATAATTCAAATAACACATTTGATTACAATACTTAAACAGTATTTCACATGTTCTGTCATGTATCATCACAGTTGAATGTGTCTTAGTACTTTGCACCAACAGTGAAATGCACTTTCAAAGTCAACCATCTATTGACATTTTCATTAGTTATTCCATGTTTTCAATCTAAGTGAAACTTCTAAGTCTTGTTTTGTTGTTTTGATCAGATTTTGAGCAGAAAATCTCCTCTTGCACTCTGCTGTTGAGAGTGGCAAAACAAGAAATATTTCTGATAATCTACCAATGATACAAAAAATTTCCTTTTTTCTGCAAGCAGATTGAGCAACTTGTTTAACTACTTCAAGCTGCAGCTTAGAGGAATTAAGGATTGCCTGAAAGCTTTTAAATTCAGTTTGTAATTCATCCACAGTGCACTCAAATTCTTGTGGCTTATGACAGTGTGTGTGGATATGGCTGCTGAAATTTCATCACCAGTAAGTATTTTGTTTGATGAGAAAAGTGCATGTAATTGCACATAATACATAAATGTCACCTTTTTCTTCAAATCTGTCTGAAAGACATTGCATGAATTTGCTCTCAGAGTACTTACAGAGAGGCTCACTCCGTTTCTCTTTGTTAGCTGTGAATTTCAATGAATGCTTTTTGAATTCATATACAATTCCAATGTATTCATGTTGTGTGATTCCTGACGATAGGAATGTTTGTAAGCTGAATCATCTATATCAGTGGTTCCCAATTAGTGGTACGCGTACCCCCGGGGGTACGCGAAATTGCATGAAGGGGTACGCGCGGCAATCTAAAATCGGCCGATTTAAAATTTAAATGCATGAGATGAAACAATCAAAAAAAATAAGGTTGGACCATCAAAAATTCGGCAATTTACAACACAATGTGGAATGTACAAATTCGTTTATTTATAACTATAAATATTCTCGAAATTTCATTTTAAAAAAAATGCATTTGTGACAATACCTAAATTCTTATGCAAGAAATAAAAATTGTACAATTATCATTATTATCATGTCAGTGAAGCAGCAATAAAATATTTGCTACCATTTTGCATAACATACCTCTGCGAGAGCAAATTTTCGGCCATGACAAACGTGAAAACTAAACATCGTCACCGACTTCAACTGGAAGATGATTCAAGACTGAAGCTGACCAAAAAGCAACCAGATTTTACAAAGTTGTGCAAAGAAAATCGTGCACATTTGTCACGTTAAAATTAATTTTCATTATTACTGTATTAGAATTGTATTTTAAAGGTAATAAATGTAAAAAAAAAACTTATTCTATTTATCACTTACTGTCTACCCACAGCTTCGCCCGCATTATATCGAATTTTCTCGTGGGAGTAAGATATTTTCTCACAGTAAAAGGTAGCCTATGTCCATCTCCAACATGTAAGCTATCTCTGTGCCAAATTTTATTAAAACCTGTTCAGCGGTTTAGACGTGAAAAGGTGACAGACAGACAGAAATACCTTCAAATTTATAATATTAGTATGGATTAATATGAATTTCTGCTATAAGGGGTACGCGAGTTTGAGCTCTTTCTTGAAGTGGTACGCAGGAAAAACTAATTGGGAACCACTGATCTATATCATCCATTATTCTATTCATTATCCATTTATCCTTTTAGCAGTCTGAGTCTGAAGTGATGAAGCTGTTACATAATCAATTGATCTAGTTTGAAAGACTTTCCGCAGAATGTTTAAATGTGTCATACAAATGTGATACGTACAAAAATTTATAGGAGACAGTCATTTTGAGTAGTCTTGCTGGTTTTTTATCTGCTTTATATTTTAAGAACTGACAAGAGTGCTGAAGAGTGTAACTATCAGTTTCACTGATTTTCCAAAAGAAAGCCTGTGTTTGGAACACCTCATGAAATCTGCACCCTTGAACATTTGTTTCATTCAAAACTGCCTAAATGTTTTCTAGACTGCTTATTCTGTTAGGAAAGTTCTGAAAATATCTGTATTTGTTGTTTAATATTTCTTGGTACTTGACCAAATATAGAAATGCATTTACAACATTGCAGGCTGAAAGAGCTATGTGATGTGTGTTGTATAACTACAGTCAATTCCCCTATAAGACGGTAGATACGTTCCATCCTTTATGAATCTATTTCTTACGAGTCCTTGCCAATCACAGCCCGACACGTATGCACTTTACGGACTACGGCTGTTTGAAAAGTTTTCTTCCATAAAATTAATCGATTCTAGATTAATCCGACTCAACATTTCCAAAATACGTATATTTTTGTTGGAAATAATCCGTATAAATTACGCTATAAACAAAAAATTGTAGGATTACTTACCGAGTGTGCACCATTCGACATCACTGTTGCTCAAGCTTGTTTTTGTCACGGAACAGCTCAGCAAACTGCGGCCGTGATTTTTAATGTTATTTTTCTGCAAAAACTTCGTTGAACTTTGGAGACATCGTTAATATAAATAATTTTAATCGCCGTTGAATAAGGAATGTTTCTTTCACACGAAATGTATAAAATTACAGTACTGTATTAGACTTACGGTACCCAATTTACATACTGTACAGACGATAGTTTGCCTAAACTCTCCGTAGTGTGGCGCTAGACAGCGGAAAGAGCATATATACATAATTATAATAAAGTTACAATAAATTAAGTTAATATATAATTATATATACAGTACCTAATTTATATATAATTATATGTACAGTACCTAATTTATATATAATACTGTACAGACGATAGTAATCTCTCCGTAGTGTGGCGCTTGATGGCGGAAAATAGTTCGGCTGCCCGATGACATTTTACGTAATTATAGGAGTTTTTTTACCGTTTTTTACAGATACCGTCACAATTTTTTCGCCGTCTTATAGGAATCGTAATTATAGGAACCCGTCTTATAGGGGGGTCTACTGTACAGTGGGTAGTTATAAGAAAAGCAGACCTCATCAACTTCAATCTTGTTATAACCCCAGAAACTCTTCCAGTCATAGTGCTAGCTTTACCTTTGGCAATTTCACACATCTTTTATATGTCCTGTCTCCTATTGCTTCTGCTTTTTAGAATTTCAAATGTTACTGATTTTGCTGTTGGGGATAATGACTGACCCAATGCATTTGTTTTAGGTTGCAAATCCTTCAAATCCTGAATAAATATTATTAAATGCTGATGGGCAGAAATGTCTGTAGACTCATCAATCATTATTCTGTAAAAGTTGCTTTTGTGAGTGCTGCTGAGTATTTCATGTTGCAACACATTGGCAGCACTTTGTTGAAATTGATCAACACTGTTATGATGAGAATAAGAAGCACCACAATTCAAGTTATTCAAACCTGCTATGCCTTGCAATTTGCACAGTTCATTTAATTTTGCAAGCATTGACTGTGTTTTGCCATGAAGTAAATGTCTTGTAGTGAACAAAGTTTACTTGTTTGTTTTTATTGAAGCTTGCTTAAATAGCCTCGCTTATGCTTATATCTATTTTTGCTTGAACTGTTGCATGTCCTCCATGCTATAGAGACTGTATTAGTCTCTCTAAAATTGACTGCCCTCTGGTTCCTAACAGCTTTGTAAATTTCAACAGCCTCTAAATATCTCAAATGCACAGGATCTGAAGTCTGATGTAGTAGAGACAACTTTCAAAAGTCTACCCTTGTGTCACTATACAAAGAATATGTCACTAGAGTTATGTTGGAGAGCTTACTAATGTTCCTTTAGTCTGGTCCCAAGGGACCTAGCTGTGGTTCCAATGTACAAGTATCGCTTGCTTAATTCAGGATTTGATTAATGTATGAAATTAATTGTGGAAATCCTTTTATATATGTGGCAGAAGTTTTAATTTATGCTAAAGACAACTTACCAACTGTTTTTACTTAACATAGATACCATATTTTGATTAATGCAATTTTGATATATGCAGTAGGATTGAGGATTAATTAATCACGTTAATCAAGGGATATATGTATACCAATGACTGGTCTATAAGAGTATTATGCAAAGGAATAAGATAAACACCTGATGTAAGGTGTTCCTTTAATTTTATTCCTTTCATTGGTTTTGGATATAGTTGTGTGTATTTTTTTATCTTATGCGGTATCTAGCCTACATATACTTTCTTTATATATGTATCAAATAGTAAAATTAAATTATATAATTCTTCGTAAAAGAAAAAAATAATGAAAGACATATGTGTGAGGCAATAAAGATATCAGTTTTCCATTCTGAAGGAACAAGGCTTACTGGGTCTAAGTTAGTCTAGGTCAGGGCTGTCCAACCTTTTTTCATAATGGGCCAGATTAGAAATTTAGGTATATTCAGCAGGCCACAAAGGTACTTTATATAAATATATACTTTTAAAAAGTTCAAAATGTGAATATAAAATTTTAATAACAAATATATATAATTATAAAACATACTGTGTTATTTACAATAAAAAACAAAATTATACTCATGCAAAATAAAAATAAATTTAATTTGATTTTTGACATTGCCTTCCTTTTATAATGTTGTTAATATCTGCTTTTATGGCACTAGTCTTAATTCTAAGAATGTTAGTTAAATGGGAATCACTTGACCTATTTCTTTCAGCAGTTTTGATGTTTTTCATGCATGAAAAGAATTGTTTATAACAGTATGTACTATTTCACATGCAGAACAGTTTTCTAGATAAATTGACAATTTAATCAAATTCATTGAAAGAATGAACTTCTTTATAAAATTCAAGAAGGGAATGTTCTCTATGATAAGTTTTCAAAGATTCCCTGCTTTAAAGTTCAATTAGTTCTAGCTGGTATTTGGCTGGTGTTTCCACATAATTAAATAAAAATGGATCACTAAACAATTTTAATTCAATTTCTATTTTTCTAGTCAGAAAATCTGGTTGTTACATCTTTAAACAAAACTGAAAAATATAGTAAATTATGTTGAAAAGTCCACGGGAAATTCTTCTTTTCTTTTTAATAAACTCTGAAAATACAGAATTTCACACTGCAATTTTATCATGACAAATAAGGCAGATAATATTATTGCATGTTTCTATTATGAAATATTTTTCTGGCCAAAAGATATTGAATTTTTTGTTTTCTTAGTATTAGATGCCATAACTAAATGCTGGGTTATTAAAAATATAAATTTAAAGTTGATGAAATAATTATGAATATGATTGTAGGTTTAAAATATTTAAATTATTATGTTAACAAAATAAATATACAGTCTTATGTCNTTTATTTTTTTAACAGTCTCTTTTTTTTTAATCATTTATACTCTAATGTAATTCTATTACCGCCTTGTTTACATGTAAACAAGTTCACAAAGAACGTATTTAACATAATTTTATAATAAAAGTATGTATGAGAGAAAGAATAGAATACTTAATATATTCACAGAATACCAAAGTATATTCAAATAATTGTAGAGAAACGTTCCTGTTAACAAATCTGCATAGTTAACAAATCTACTTAAAAAGAACCGTCGAAATACTGTTTTTTTCCTCTCCTTTTGTATTAAATTTATATGTTAATGTAGTAAATATAGCTGCAGTTTTAAAAAGTGATGTTCCTAAGGGACTTCTATTAAGCATGTAACATGGTAGCTCTTAATAACGATGTTCAGGATATACCCGTATGTGTTTCTGCTTTATGGATTGTCCAGTTCTGCACTTTGAAAGATTTACGAGGAAATGGTCTTGAATGCTGAGCACCCATAATGTGGTAAACGAGCTGTTATGTTCACGCCAAATGCCAAACATATACTAAAATTACGATTCCTGGCTCTTCTCTACATCCTATATAACTGTGTCACATACAGATAGAATATTTCTTATCTACTGTGCAATATCTTCTCTTCCTTATTGTTGTTTTTCTACTTATGAGACTTCCTTTATGTTCAATTTATTTTTTATTGATTCTGTATAATGAATAATTAACTATAAATAGTCTTTCTTAATAGTTTCTGCAAAGAATTTTCTTAAAATAATGCCCTCTTTTTGACGTAACAAAGGATAAAATATTTAAATTATTAACTATAAATAGTCTTTCTTAATAGTTTCTGCAAAGAATTTTCTTAAAATAATGCCCTCTTTTTGACGTAAGTAGGTTTAAAATATTTAAATTATTATGTTAACAAAATAAATATACAGTCTTATGTCTGTATTATATACCTGTAATTAGAAAGAATGCCAAAGTGAAAGAGGCTAATTTATTCTGTACTTCTATAAATAAGAAATTAGTCCATTCCATTTTCACATTGAATTTAGCCTTGAGTCACTAAAAATGGCTGACACTCTTTTGAAAAGAGGGATTACGTGTCTTTTTCATCTGCCTGATGAAAGCTACCATTCTTTATCACTAACAACATCACTTCATTACAAAAATGTTTGAAACCGAAACAATCAAAATGATAGACCACACTGCCAACTTTTTTGATTGGTCAGTAACAAATTATGTCATCACGACATCAAAGTGTATCCAATGAAACGAGAATAATTTTTATGACATACTTTACCAAAATAAATAAAAATGTACCTTAAAAATTTAGGATGCAATGGGCCACATAAAAGTATTAAATGTGCCATGGGTTGAACATCCCTGGTCCAGGTTGTAACCTCAAAAATTTTTTTTGTTGGTTTGACCCAGTATTGGGTTAAGCTATTCTTCACCACTCAGCTATTTCATTGTAGACATAGCTAAAGTCATGGTGAGCAAAATAAGAGCACTTTTAATGCAAGCAAGATGGAAAAATATATTTTAAAAATAATAACAAAATATCATATAAATGATTAGATATAAAAAAACTAATCATATTCTTTTTAAGATTTTTTCTACTAAATCTTATACTTTTTAAGTAAAGTATACAAGGTGTGTCTAAGTTCAGGGACCTAATTTATTTAAAGTTAAATTTTTGGTAAAAGTAATTCAATTTAGCATCTGTCTTCAAAATGCACTCCTTGTTCTATAAAATTTTTGCACACTAGTAATTTATGTATTCTTTTGTAAAAGGATCTTTTTAGAATGCTGTTTAGTTAACTCCATGCAGCCTCTTGGTTTCCCAAAATTGACTGAAATTGTTTGCCTTTCAACTATTGGAGCTCCTGTTCCCCAAATTAAAATTTTTATTGAAAGGGAAAAATTTTATTCAATTTTGGGAAACCAAAAGGCTGTATGGAGGAAACTAAAACATTCCAAAAAGATTCTTTTATCAGGGTGTATGTATGTAAATTACAAACATGTGCAAAAATTTTATAGATCAGGCAGGAATGAATTTTAAAGGCTAATACTAAATTGAATTATTTCCATCAAAAAAATTTTTTTTTATAAATTCAATCCTTGAACTTAGTAAACACGCCTTGTATATAAAATATTTACTTATTTTACACAATATAAAAAATTGAGAATCACGTCATAGTCTATTTTAGAAAGTGATTCCATTAGAACTTTTTTAATTGCAGATTTGACATTTATCAACAAACAATGTTTATTTTGTAGACAATACAACATCAAATACGAGAAATGAAACTAATTCAGTTGGTTCTACAAGTCAAGGAGAATCTACTCAAAATTTACGTCAGTCTACTTGCACCAATGAAAAGAATTTATTTAATATTTTACCAGTAGAAAAATATGCTCGAAAGGTAACTACAATTATTTCTTTAATATTTTAAATATAAAGTTAACAACATATCAGTTGTTTAGATATCAGAACACATTAATTATATATATATATATATA